TTGTGATACAGGGTAATAAATTAAACTTTTTCCCCCAGTAAGGTATTGCCTTGCTTCTCATGGAGTGCATTAGTAAAGAACATCATCTCTGGTGTGTGTGGATTGCTCAGATGGAAATTTTGCGTACACTGCTCATAACTTCTTTCAGTAGGCCAGGCTGGAAAGCGGCTCTGGAGTTGTAGATGTTCTGACATTCATTTCTGTATCTGTAAGTTTTCTAAATACTCCAAATGAGAATATGGTTAGATAAAGAAAGGATGGACCATGTCTTTGAAAAGCTAAAGATGGATACCTGAAATTTGTCTGCCTTGTATATAGTAGGAGTGTTAGAGAACATTTATTTCTCTAGTTGTCTTCCATGTGAAAGAAACATTTGCAATGCAAGCTCATTGTGATTTACCACATAGATTTTGTTTTGGTAGTCATTCATTTTTTGGTTTTTACTGCAGATGGTTTTAACTTCTTTACTGACAACCCAGTGTTCAGTTATGGGGTATGGAAGAAATGGATGTTCAAATTAGATGCTGGAGGTTTGGTCTGGCTTATATTTTAGCGTCTGAATGGAAATACAAGCATTCACAATGTCTTCTAGATCTTTTTTCAAAAGAAATTCAAGTTGAAATAGCTGTTCTTGTATTAAAATTGTAGTGAAAACATTGCACACATTGACTGTAGAACAAGCATAGGACTTTGCAGATAGTAATTTTCAGAATGTATTACGAGGAAGTATTTCATCTGCATTTTACAGAAGGGGAACTCAGGACTACTGATAAAGCTAAAGATCGTATTATATTATTAAAAACTATACTGTCTTCTGATTGTTTTAATCTGGATTGTATTCTTTACAAGTTGTGGGCATAAACAGTACATATGAAAAGAATAATTTTCCAAATATATGTGAATGATTTCTCTTAAAGTTTGTTTTTTAATCACTTTGAGCTGATTTTGAATTGTATGTGTGTATTAGTGTAAGCAGGAAATCAGTCAGATTTTCATGCAGTGTTTAAAATAATTAGGCGTTATAAATGAAAATAGATGTTTAAAATGGAATGGCATTCTCTTGCTGTTTCTGATTCAATTTCACTTGCTCACTAGCATTTGAAGGAAGTTGTTTTGGTTCCTTCTGGTCTTGCAGATCAGTTTAAATCTTGAATATTTCAACAGTTAATATTGTTTTTAAAGGGCTTAATTTTTATCCTCACTGAATTGATTTTCTTTTCAGTTTCTTATTCCTATTTGCAGACCTGCTCATGTTTTCTAACAAAAGTGGAGGCTCTTGAATAACAAACTAGCCTTACCTCATTTACTTTTCCAGGTTATCTTCCACATACTCCTTAGAAGGAGTCTTCACATCCCCTGGAGTTCTCAAACTGCTCCTTGAGGATCTTACAAGTATTTTCTTGGGACTCTGACTCATGTTCACTAAACAAACATTTGTGGCACTTTTAGCTGGTGATGTTGTTGCCAGAAATCAGGGCCCCTTCACGCAGTCAGGGCAGCAGAACACGTGCCTATTCCTCAGCTGCTGCTCTTCAGACTGGCACCGTAACACAAAACTGCTTTGATTTGTGGTTGAAGCTAATACGGAGCCGCCCAGCTGAGGTGCAGGCATCTGTTCCCATATGCCAGTTCGGTTACTGAGGATGGAGAATGGCAACTGCTTAAACCACTGCAGTGACATTCTTCAGCATCCTCTATTCCTGGTCTGGGCTGGGAGCTGTTAAGTTTTGTCTACACAAAACTCTGAAGTCAAAGACTTCACATCTGAGATTTAGAAGACTCGATACAGGAAAATCTTGAGATAGTAATAACCGGGTGAATCAAGTGCATGTTTTTTCTCTGTATAAAGCCTCTCTGGATTTGCTCCCTAAAAGCAGAAGCTGTTCCATGCTAAGACACATGGAAGATGCATGTTCTCATGAGTTCATCAGAGAGTTGTGTAAATTTCTTGTCACCTTCACTTTCAGATTTTGCCTTCTAACTTCTTATTCTGCGTGTTATTTCCTGGAAATTGAGGAGATGGGCATCACCAGGCACTTGTTGAATGGAAAAGAACAGGGTCCTGTTTGGCTTGCTGGTTTAAAAAAACAAACAAAACCCCAAACCAACCACGAAAAACCCCTCTCAGTTCTCAGTGAAGCTGCCACTGACTCCAGGAGTTTGTTGGGTTTTGGATGCCGAAGGGCATGTTTTGAACCTTTAAGATGCAGGTGAAATTTTACGGCTTGTAGAGACTATTTCTGTTTCAAATGTAGAATTCGTTCTTGTAAATTGGATTAGCTCAGATACATGAGGAAATCAAGTACCCTACAAAATTTGCTTGCTTCAGCATCACAAGAGGTTTTACTTTTCAAGCTTGGAAAAAGGTAACAGTTTTCCCCCATGACTTTCTATTCCACTCTCAGTAGGTTCTAACAGAGTTGGGCCATGTATTGAAAAATAATATGTTGATGATTTATAATAAAGAGATTTTTCTCAATCAAAAAAACTCAGAAAAACCTAAAGCAGTTATTTGGAGATTTGGTTTTTATGCCATAATTTCTAGGAAGGCAAAACATTTTTGTTCTGCAGTTCTGAGTCCAACTTCAGGTTTTCAGACAGTAACTTTGTGGATTATTTGGTTATAACTATCAAAAAACAAAGATTTAGTGGAAAACAATGAGGTTATAACTTATATTTTTCCCTCTGAATTTTCTTCAGAACCTTTTTCAAGAACACAGCATGCTTTTTTTAAAAAAGAAAAAGTCTGTAATTATGGATTTCTTCTGTAACAGCTGATCATGATGGCTAAATCATTTTTAGATAGCCTACATAACAGCTCACTTTGTTTTTCAAGGAACTTCTTGAACAATAAATATCTTCTAGTTAATGCAGAATAGTTTTTAAACTGTTGCAGTACTGATCTCTTACTCTTCCCCCCTGTGAACACGTCTTTATTTTGATGATACCATTGTAAGAAGGTGTTTTTCACAGTGTTTTAGGATTCTTTTGATGAGAAGGGGGAATAAAGATAGTACCAGTTAAAACTGGAGAAGTCTGTTGTAGAAAGTAGTATTTTAGTGGGGAATCACAAGGTATGCTCAGGACCCTCTTTAAAGTGACAGAATATTCAAACTTTTTAGCCAATTAGTTGCAATACTGCTTTTGCATTTCAATCAGTATTTCTGGAGCATTTGATGAAATTTTTCAAGATAAATGTAGATTAGGTGTTTACACCAAAATCTTTTATTTTAGTAGTTTGCCTTTGTTTTATAGAGATTCTTTTTTTATTATAGTTAATTTCCCTGTTGAAAATTAAGAAGCGATTTTGATTAGTTCTTGTTTTTCCTTCTATTCAGTTTTTTGTGAAAAGGCGTCAGCTTTTAGAAATGAAAATAGCTTTTAAAAAGGAAAACTTTTGCCTCAGGTAGCGAGGCGTGGTGCTGTTCTCTTCTACAGTTCAGAATTCTCTGAATTCAGCAGCATGTGTTACAAGTTACTGACCTTTGATTAGAGTATAATAGCTTGCTAAGAATTGTTAATTACCAAACTTCTGTGAGGAGTTTCTCCTGGGGGATCTCCAGCAAGGTGCTTTTAGTACTGCAGTACCTAAATGTCTGTGCTCATTCTAACATGTTGCGTTCTACTAAAAGGTGTTGGGATTCTCCTTTAAGACAACACTTTGGTTGAAGATCCAGTGTGCTTTAAGTCATAAACTGCAGTGTTAATCATAAATAAACATTAATTTTAAAAAATCTGTGTTTTTTCTGTTAAAATTAACTACTTATTCCTCTTTTAAAGGAGTAAGTTGAGCAGCTAACAAAAAATTACAGTTTTTCTTCATCTTTGTTCTGTGTATGTGTTAGGTGGAGATCAGTCGAAGAGTGACGCTAGAAGAACTCCCCCCTGTTCTTGTTTTACACCTCAAGCGGTTTGTATATGAGAAAACCGGTGGATGCCAGAAGCTTATCAAGAATATTGAGTATCCTGTTGATCTGGAAATTAGTAAAGGTAAGGGAAAAGATAATGTGTTTCCTAGGGGTATCTGTTTGTGTTTCAGTTTTCTTCTTTGCTCCCAGCTTTGTGCAGAAGATTATTCTCCATTGTTGTCTGGAAACATAGTAATTTGGATTAATATCTTGTGTGCTGCTTTTTTCCTCTTTTTTTTTGTTTTCCTTCATAAAAAGTATGTATTTGGGTTTCTGGGTTCAGTCTTGCCAAAACTGGCATTGCCTGTATATGAGTTTGGGCATCCATTTTGCAAAGAACATTATGGTGAAAGATCTTACAAACTTTGCCACATCTTAGACATTGGGTTGGCCAAATAAGAGCTTCCTGCAGATTTAAGGAGTAAGGTTATAGTCTGCTGAGGACAAATATTGGAAGTGATCTTGTTGAATGAGGGGTATGTCCCTACACAAGGCTGTTGCCAAGCAATAGTAGATATTTTTATCTCAGATTTCATTCACAGAAGTGGCAAATTATTGTAATAAACAGTGGCTGATGAAAGGAAACCGAGCATTTTATAGAGAATGCAGCCTGGAGGCAGACAAGTAAGCGGTAGTTCAGAGGTTAAACAGCAAAGTTCATTCTTTTAACAAATATGTTAAGAGATACCGATTTTACAAAGTGTGAGGGCTTGCATGTAATCCAGCATCTGTAGCTTGTCAAATTAAATGCATTTTGTTTTGCTCTGACGAATTGGCTGTTAGCCAGCCAGTAGTTCAAATAGGAAAAAAAGAAATAAAATTAATCATTTCTCATATCTTAAATGAGATATGTACTTTGTCAGACAGTACCCTTTTCTTTTACTTAATATTTTATTTTAAAATTTTTTTAAAGAATGGGTATTTGTAGAACTAGTTCAGTTTTCCTTGACTGACAAAAATGGTTGTAGTATGACTTGGAATCTGAGATTGATTTTTGTCGTTGTCTGACTGTAGGAATGAAAGGGAAAAAATGAATAGTCTGATCTTTTGCCTTTTTTTTTTCCTTCCCCTCCCTTCTTTTTTTTTTTTTATGGTATTTTTTAAACCCTCCATAAATGTTAGTGTTCAGCAAACGTCAAAATTCATTCCCTTGATTACCAGGTATCAGAACCATGACCATTCTTTAAAGGCTGCAGAAGACATTTTAATTAAGCTTTCTCCTTTATGGTAGTGTTGGTTTCTCTTAGAAATAATTGATCCCTTTAAAATTTGAATTTCTAAACTTGCTAACTCTTGCCTTTGTGACTTTTTTTTCCTCCTCCAGAGCTACTATCTCCTGGTGTGAAAAGTAAAATTTTTAAAGGCCAAAGAACCTACCGGCTCTTTGCAGGTATTTTATCTATATGCCTCTAGCCCCTGTATCGCAAATACAAATTCTGCATATAGAATTCTAGAAACATTGGAGTTTCTTGCATTATATAAAATATTTTCTTTTAAATTACATTGAAGTAGCGTGTGGGTGTCCAATTCTTGTACTTAGTGGTGGTTTTTGCATATGTGCATATACACATATATTGATATATCTGCATTTATGTATCTCACTGATCCAGCTTTGTGCAAAAACAGAGTTCTGTAACAGATCCACCCTGAAAAATATCAGCAGAAGCTGAAATACAGCAGTAATATAACTATGTCTAAAATACACCAAATATTCTCAGAATAATGTTTCAATGTCTTTTGAAATGGCTGTTTGAATGCTGGCTTTGCATCCCTTTGAACCCTCAAGATGAGTATTGCTGGCAGGGTATGAATAGCATATTGTAGGTGGAAAAGTTTAACTTGGAGGAGATGATAATTTTCGTATGAGGGAACGATGTTTTTAAGAGTGTCTGCGATGTATACGAAATATCTAAATTGGTAGTTAAGATTTGGAAGCTCATGTAAGAATTCAGAAGCAGCATTTTAATAGTGAACAAAACAGTCTCTGGGCAATAATGAATTTCCCGAAGTGTGAAACTCCTACACAGTTTACGATTTGCACCTGCTTATTTGTGTTGGCGTCAGGAGAACATAATAAACTGGAGAACCGGAGGTCTTAACTTCTACGTCACCAAATCTGTGCCAGTACTGGTGGCCTTATGCGACTCAGTGGTTTGGATCCAGTTTTGTGACTGCTGAGGTTACAGAAGGAAATAACATTCCTGTCTCTTGTGGAAATTCAGGGCTGTTTCTGGCAGTGTAATTTTTTTTTTTTATTGACAGTGGTTTTCATGGGACAAGTTTAGACAGCGTATTTAAGGTGGCTTGAAGAAAATGTGTTATTGCTGTAATTTTTTCTAACTCCTTCTATGGAAAAGTACAATACTTCAGTCTTCTGTCAGTCTAGGACTTCTCATTCACAGAAACTGAGCTTGTTAGATGAATTTTAAATTACTAAAATAAGCTTTTGGAGAATTAAGTTTCAGATATCATCCAGGATTTGCCTAATTATCTAACAATAAATTTTAGAACATCAATGATTCAAGTTTAAGCTACTGTAAAAAAAATTATTTCCTGAATTCCCTAAAATGTATAGATGTAGTATATTCTGCCTTTTTTGCTTTGCTTAAGTCAAGTTATTCTAAAATGTTTCTTTTCATAGAAGTTGTGAAGAAAATCTGAATAAGTTGAAGTGTGACTCTAGTCTGAAAGCGTGTAAACAATTTCATAATTACATACTTCTGCTCTTGTGTCAATTATGGCAATTCTTTCAGCTTTTTATTTGTTCTTGTTAAGTATATGGTTAGGGCTCACGTGTTGCTAGAAGAATTTAAATGCAATTTCTTACATGCATCCTTAGAATTACATACATAAAAGGTCTCTTCCATTTGGAGGCAGTTGCCACATCTAGCACTGAGAGCTCAGCATTGAGCTTGGAGTTTGGTTTCTGTAAGGAGAGCCGAGATGTCTTCTCTGCAGAACAGTTCTGACAATGGAGATAATTGAGGAAAGAAGCAAGTTTGATTCTCTCTTGGAAGTGGCAGAATTAGCAGTTAATCAGAGATGTTCAGTTCACAATTCTGTTAAGGAGAACTAATAAATGTGGAACTTGTAGATTGGTACTTCAATAGAACCTGTTTCCAGAATAAAATTAGAATTAAGACAAAACAAAAATAAAAATGGTCAGAGGGGGAATAACTGCTTAGACTTGTAATCAATGCTGTTTGAAAAGTTTTGCCTGATTTTCTTTTTTATAGACTGCTACATAGTTTTACCTGATTCCCCTCCTCTCCCCCCCCCACCCAAATATTTTCAATAAAATACTGTTGTCAGCAGACAGAGCGAATGTGTCGCTTAGAATATCTTGCTAAGCATGGCAGTACCTGTTGGAAGCTGTGAAGGGTGTGCTGCACTCTTGCAGATGGCCTCTGTGAGGCAAATCCTTCCCAGAAAATCCTCTAGGAAGTTATAAAAAGCAATTTGATGCTTCTGATTCTTAATTTACTTAACATTCCTTTTAGAATCATGAGCTTCGGTATGCTGGAGAAGCATTACTAATATTACATAGCATCAAATGTAAGCAAGCAAGCACTAAACACTTATATTCTTGCTTACGCCAGATCATGCCATCTGCAAAACCATGAGTATGCTATGAAGAAAGCAATATGGGACATTTTTTCTTGACTTACTTTTTCAGCGGATATTTACCTATGTATAGTGTATATGTGCATCATGAATTTCTCTTTGCAGTTGTCTATCATCATGGAAACAGCGCAACTGGTGGCCATTACACTACGGACGTCTTCCAAATTGGTCTAAATGGCTGGTTACGCATCGATGACCAGGCAGTCAAAGTGATAAATCAGTACCAGGTGGTGAAGCCGTCTGCAGAACGCACAGCCTACCTCCTGTACTACCGCCGAGTTGACCTGCTGTGAAACTTTGCCCTTTTACGCTGTGTGTGCAAGATACCTGCTTTGTAGAACGCCAACTATCACTAACTTTTTTTTCTCCTGTAAATGCTCTTTTGAGTGAATCTTTTTTTCTTTTTTTTTTCTTTTTTTTTTTTTTCCCTTGCAACTATGGGATAGAGTGATAAAGGAAACTACCTTGGGTTTGTGCACAACATAGTTTGTGTTGACTTTTGACTTTGCAGAATGAAGTCACTTGGTTGAAAGACTCAGTCTCATGAATCACAAAAATAAAAAAAAAATTAATCTGAGTTAATGCTGAATCCTAAGATAATAAAAGGGGATTTGCATTTGATTCCCACTTTCTAATTGCGTAGTAGAAGAAAACCCTGCACCAGCAACTGAACTTGTAGATTTCTGTGAAAATGTTTTATCTTTACTTAAGTAAAAAAATAAAAAAAAATAAAAAAAATTAAAAGCGCTCTCTGCTTCCCCAATAGTTTTGATAAGTGGTGAAATATGAGCCGATGTGTATGAGATGGAAATGGTCCTATGTGCTTCAAAAAATGTACAAACATACAAAATGCAGAGTTGCTGGTTCCTAATAGGAAGACACATTTTAATAATTGTGTGATGAGAAACTGCTTAAGTACACATTGCAGATCAAATATTTGGAGTTAAGATGTTAGTCTATATAGATGGGTGATTGTAACTTTATTGCTATTAAGAAATTTCAAACTGCATTTATGCTTCTGTGTACATGAAATTAAAAAAAATGGGCAAAATAATTAAGATTGATATTTCTTTCAGTCTGCTTTGTTTAATTTTGCTGTCTGCTCTCCTATAATGTTGAGTTCCTAATTGTACACAGTTTAGTGATATCTAGAAGTATAAAGTTGTCGCCCATCAATAAAAGTCACAAAGTTGGTTTAAGGTGTGTGTGTGGGTTTTGTTTTTCCTCAAGTGTAAATCCTACCCTTGGAAACTCGAAAAACTGCTATGTAGCACTTTTACAAGGGGTAGATAGCGTTCCCCAAATGAAATGCAGATGATTTTTTTTTTCTTCTACAACTTCTTGAAACTTCAGAAACGTTCCCATTCGGCATTGAGGTGGAACTGAACTTTGAGGGGAGAGGGAAAGGGAGAGGAGATCAGTCGGCCCAAACAGCTACAACGCAGGGCCCGCACCCGGGACGTGGTGCTCCCAGGGCTGAACACCCGTCGGCCGGAGAAGGGGATTGAATCCCTTCTGTGTCCTGCGTGAAAGCCCTGCACGGTTGTTTTTCAGGTAGATGTTTTGTTTGTCTTTGACTAAAACATTCCCTTCTTTAGCCAGTTGACATTTTCATTGAAAACTTTGGTAAAAATATTTCCTTGATCAGCTTCCTGTTGCCTTCCCTGCTGCTGAAGATGATTAAAAAAAATCTATATATTGTTTAATGCTTAATTTGATGATAGTGGTGTTACGTGCTTATTGCATCATTGGAGAAGTGTTACAATTGTTGCCAGTGAAGCAGGGCTCATTTTAGCACGGATTGTCAATAAAAGGTTAAGCTGCGTATACCCTGACCAATTACTGTTCACTTTTTCTAGGTGACATTTAGGAAAAAAAAAGTTATTTTCTGCAAAGCTGTGAAAATAAAATTAGCTGCATTAATTTTACAGGTACGGTGTTCCGATAAATTCCTTTCGCATTTCTTTAAACTGCTGATTTCATTTTACTTTGCATGGCCTGTCTGTCCAGGAGATGGGTGCCGGTCTTCAGTGAAAAGGGGTGCTAGCTCTTTCAAGAGACGGAAGGAGCCCTGTACATGCCGTGGGTTTCAGCACCTGCCCATTGGCGTGGGCTTCCCGGCTGTTTTCTGCCCGAGTCAAACAGCAATCGGTCGCTTTACAGAAGACGGGAAGGTCATGCATGAAACAGAATTCCTGCGACTTGGCTGGGTGTTGAATGAGCAGTAAGGCCCGCTGAAGAAAGTCCTCCTGATTTGCCGTCTGGCTTTCCTACCCTCTCATCGGATGGTGGAGAACTTGGGACTTTCCTGCCTGTGAATCGCTCCTGGCCATGCTGTCCCACGTAAGGAATGAGTGTGCTGGCTGGAGCCAGGCTGTTTGGGCTGGTCCTGTTCTCTCTGCTCAAAATCGAGAGATCTTCAGACAGATAAGATCGATCTTCAGTTTCTTTCTTGAATTATTAGGCAGCATTAACTTTATATCACTACCACAATCCTGATGCTGAGAAAATTTTATGGTATTTTATGGTATAGTTAACTTTTTCGTTGATCAGCGAATTTTATTAGTATATTCTGATCTGAAAATTGTGACTGAGACACTCTTCTTGATTTTGGTGACATTCCACCAACTCTGAAACAATTTTGTGTCCAAAGCTTGTTTTGATTTTGGCCAGTTGCAGGGAAAACCTCAGCTCCTGACTGCTCGCTGGGCACGGTGCCCCGAAGCTGGGGCTACCGAGGCAACGTGCCAGGGGGCTGCCGGAGGGCTGGCGCTTCCAGGGTTTCCCAATGCAGGGCTGTCCGGGATGGGAATTACCCCGGAGCAGCCCTGGTGAGACATCGGTTTTGCTTTGAATTTGAAATCTGGGGAAGTGGGGATTGTTTCAAATGGGAAAGAAACCAGATTTTGAAATTACTGTTCTGTACTGGTTATTATTCACGTCCTGTTTCTTGTACCCTGGTTGAAGTAGTTTTCTGTACTGCAGAAATCCGGGGTTTTTTTCCTTTCCCCGCCCCCCTCCCTCCCCCCTTCTGGCTGTGTTGAGTATTCACCTGTATCTCCAGTGGGCTGTGAAAAGGTTCGTTTCTGATAATGTAGGCTTCCCAGAATATTCCAGATAATCATTCATCACCTGCAATTTTAATATATTACTTGATACCAGGTTCCTTGCAATTAACTTTGGTTTTGACTGGTGGGCTGGTGAGTTTTGACCCATTTTACTCAAAAATTACAGGTTCGCGTTTGCGGGTAGGACGTCGGGTATGTTTAGTAGAAACAAATTGGACCCCATGTTGTTGGTCTACTCTTGCACTAACAGGACTCTTAATGGCGAGGGGTTTCCTAGCAAAAAGCTTTTACTGTTTACGATGTCTTAACCAGTTGTGGATGAGTTTGTGATACAGGTGTATTAAAAACACAGGTATTATAAAATCACTTTATTTTTTATTCTGTGGGATGGTTGCTGTTTGCAAGCAGCCCTGCGAGGCTTTCCCAGCACTTGGGAATGTGCTTTGAAATGAAGTTCAACTTTTTGCTATCTGAAGTCTTGCATTTTGTTATCTTTTGCAAAGGAAACGCTGTCTTAGTCTCAATCTTCCCATGGATAATAACACGAGTTTTGTCTGTTATAGGTGACTCGCCAACTTCAGAAATGACAGTGTTCGACCTGGAGCAGACAACACCTCTTTGTGATGAGCGGTTTCGGGCGGAGTCCAGCCCAGCAGAAATAGCTTAAAAAAGGGTAAAGTGAAAAAAAGAGGAGGAGAGGAAGAAATGAAGAGTAGGATGAGAAAAAACGAACTGGTGTACAATTAATGAGATTTTAGTATTATTTCATTTAGCTGTGCTTGCGCTTCTGCTGAGGTTTGCTTAGAGTTGCTGCATCTGTGATGGATTAATATTACAGTATTTAAATTACCGTTTAATCACCTAATACAGTTTTCCCTAATATAGGCTTGGTCCTAAGAACATCCTATTTGATATTTTTTGCTATCAGGAGGTTTTTGGTGTTGAGACGTACGGTTGTGCGTTCCTTTGCAGCTGTGGAAGCTCCAAGGGCTTTTCCTATGTCCTGTGCGTTATCCCCTGGAGTAAAAGAATAGAAAATGAATTTATATCACCACTCAAGTTCTGGTATACAACTTAGACCTTTCCTGTTCATAAAAGACCTGTATAAACATCTTATAATAAAAGTTGTCAGGATTGGAGAAGATTATAAGAGGAGCTCCTGCTGCAACAGTGCAGTTCACTCTGAGTCTGTGTATTCAGTTCTACATTTCACTTGACGTGAGCAGGTTACAAGTGTTATTAATTTTAAAGAAATGGCAGTGAGTAATTGCCGGTTTAAAAAGCAAGTGTTGAAATCCTCTCCTAGTATGAAATGGAAGTTGTTCAGATGGTATTAATTTTTTGATTTTTCACTAAGGATATTACAAATGCACTTGTTGCTAAAATCTGTCTTTTGCAGTGTATTACTCAAAGGAAAAAAAAAAAGAGTAAAAAGTATGTGGCAACAGTCTGATGTGAACACATAACCACAATTTTTATTTTCTATATTAAACTCCTCCCATTGTTGCAAAACAAAGATTTTGCAGCCTTTTGATTATTTGCTTTGTCTGTGAGTGATTATGTAAAAGAAAAAAAAAAACAACACCCATCCCCCCCCCCCCCGATACACCATAAATCTGGTGGTTGTTTACTGATGTTTAAACCAGGTTTTAAGAAACGTTTTTTTAAAAACCGCACATTAAGACCTAAAGTTTTCAAAACTAGAAGCTTTGGCTGTGCGAGTCCACAGAAAAATCTCACGCCAGGTCTGCACGGGGGATGATTTGATGGGGTGGAGGAGAAAGATTACCAAAAGCAGAAGGTATCTGGGGGTGAGGGGAGGTGGTGTGGCTTTTAATTAAGAAACTGTACTGTTTTGCACAATATCGAGAGGGTGTCGCCCGCGGGCCGGGGCTGCGCTGCAGCAGAGGGCAGTGGTGGCACACGCGAGATTCGTGGCGTTGCAGCTCTAAAGCTGCTGCCAAAATTGCTGCCGGCTTTGGGGAGCTCCCGGGCTGGCAGCAAGGAGTTTATCTTCACAAATGTGCTATAAATCTCTCTTGTTTTCAATAGGAGTGGAGTACGCCTTTGACATGCAGTGGATGTTCCCAAGATGTTCGGGGATTCGTGCGACTGTTGGGGTTTATTCCAGGCAATTTCTAATGACCCAAAGGATTTTGGAAAGAATTTGTATTAGCAAATAACCAGACGTAATGGCTGCGGAGCTGGTGATTGCAATTCACCTTCTCCCTTTGGGGTGAAATTTCCAAAAATGAGTGTTGGGTTAGTATTTCTGAACTGTTTCAGTCTGCAGATCTGTACCGGTTGCTTTATTATTAAGAAAGTATGTTTCAACATCTCTCACTGCAGATGTAACCAGGGAATGTGATGAGCTGCGGTAACAAGGTGAGGGGTTTTGTAGCTTTTAGTTCACGTTTCACTTGTGCTTAGAGTGGTCAGCAGTGCCCCCAAAATTCAGCAATTAATTTCTGAAATTGCTGCATGTCTGCTTGTTTCTTT